TGATGAAACACGATCAGGGTATAATGTATTATAATTCCCAAGTTTAAGGATGTAAAAACTAGTTGCCATGATATATATAATCATCTCTTATTATACACGTACTGGCCCCCTGGCTCTGTTTTCAAGTCAAGAGTTGAAAGCATAAACCAGATTTCTTCTTCTTTTTTTTTTTTTTTATGGTCTTTTCCAACAAACAATAACATCAAGTGCAGATGCTAGTTGAAAGCATCTTGTTTCTCCCCTGTCCATGTTAAATCTTTTACATGCAACCTCTTCTGGACGGCCCCTGAAGAATTTTACTGAAGAACGCAACAAAGCTACTTGAAGAATAAATATGCTCTCAGCATAACAAATGACAGCTAAATATCAAGGCCATTGAGTGCAATTGTTTGTAGGAAGGATATTATCCCCGATCTATTTCGATGTATATACTCTAAAGGACCTTTAGGAGCTCTAGTACAAACTTCGAAACAGAAGTACATTTGAACAAATTAGGCATCCGGCCAGAGCACCTAACAATTTGCCTGACTTCGTAAATTAAGGAGGTCAAATGCGATCACAGCTCATGCGTACACAACGATTGGACTTCTGGCAGTCACAGTAAAGGATTTTCTTTGGTTCAACGCCTTTAAACCATAGAATTTTAGGCTTCACAGAGATATTATATAGAGAAGCCTTAGTAACAACTGCTTTATATGATGAGCTGGGGAGACCAACATTAGTAACTGTTCTTCGAAATGTAACTATAAACTCTCTCTGTTTTTGAACCCGGGCAGTCATCGTTGGATAATTTAGATCCTTAGACTGTACTGCTGCTACTTTCATGCAGGTGCTATTGTCTGCAAATATCTTTTTTCGCGTAGATGGATCAATTTCCAAGCCGCAAATCAATTTAATATGATCTGCCTTGAATGTCTCATACACAAGTCCAGGATGCGCAGCTTTTACTGGATTTAGATGACCTGCCCCGCAAGAGAATTCAGCATCTTGATGAACAGCATTGGTTGCATTCATCTGCCAAGCTATAAGCAAATAATAGGAAGTGTGACTCGTGAAAAAGGTGATCAAGGAGCTTCAAAAGTTCTGTTTCCATCATTCCGTGGTCCCCTTTACCCCATCAAAAAGATCGAAAAATGAAATGTAGGAATTGAAGAACTTTGACATGAGAATGTTGAATGTGCTAGAACAAGCGTCCTTTGAAAGAGTATTACCAGTAGTCATAAGAGTAGATTTGATTGCTGACGGAGACCAATGGGGATGAAGTGACTTAACATAAGCAGCTGCTGCTGTAACATGACGGCAAGCCATGGATTTTTATGTACTTACATGGCGGAGTTGATATAACTTCCAGTTAAATTAAACTGTTGAAGACTTAAACTCGATGCAGCACCAGGGACAACAAAGGAGACATCATTCAATGCACCTGAAAGGACAATTGACCCAAGGGCACCAACACTTTTAGCTGTAATAATTCCAAGACCACTGTCACAAACTACAATCTTTCCCTTCACGAGATCATTGTCCAGACACCCAGGAAAACATGACCTGACGTGGAAAATCAAGGTCCTTATCTTTTAATTTATAGCCAGAAATCACAATTAAGAATGGATGGATAGATGATAAGATCCAACATTTACATGGCTTCGAAGTGGGTACAAGTTTTTGAAGCATCCTTCCCAAGTATTAAGAGGGAAACTTGTCCCATTCAATTTCAAAGAATTAACTGCTCTTCCCTGCAACATACAAAGTCAAACTGTAAGCAAGCTGTTAACTCCACAGAATATGAACTTGTACAATTCAGTTCGAGCTACTACGCCATTGATGTTTGATAAGGTATTGTATATAGAGCTAAATGCTAAGTAACAGATTTATTTGTGCAGCCTTTGAAGGAGAATAAGTTGGAAATACATACAGCAAGAATATTTCCATCTCCAAGGGCACCTTGGGCGATGATCTCACGACTCGTGCTGCTGGCTGCAACTGTGAATAACCATGGTGCGGTACTGGAAATATCACCTGATACAATACCATGGTTCCCTGTTGAATGAACTGTGAGTATACCTCTCTCTGTCGCATGAAAAGAAGCAATAGCTATGACATCATTCTTCAAATCAAGTGGAGATTTCGATCCAAGAGACACAGTAATGAGATATCAACTCCATCAGCTATAGCATCATCAAAACCAGCCATTATATCTTCATATGCACATCCGATTTTGTAACATACTTTGTATACGGCAATCCTTGCAGCTGGAACACCTCCTCTTGCAGTACGTTGTGCTATTCCATAGAAACTCGCATTCTTCACTTCGTTCCCAGCTGCCGTCGAGGCAGTATGAGTTCCATGTCCTTCTGTATCTCTTGCAGAATCATCTTCTGAGACCTAGGTTCGTGCTCCCACGATTTTACTGTAAAGTGAGTATGTAGTTCAATGAACATTGAATTATTGTGTTACTCCACAAAAAATATTCCAAAGAAAAAGAAGTTACTTGTTGCAGTGAAATTGCTTCCGCCTTCCATTTTTTGGGTACTGGGCCAAAACCATGGTCGTTAAAACTTTTTTATTCTGGCCAAATTCCTGTGTCAAGAACTCCTATAATTATGTCACTTTCGATTTTGAGATTTCGATGGACATTTTGCGAAAAACCCGTGAAGTCCCAGGATGCAGTTGTTTGGACTTGAAGAAGTTTACTTGGGAATACGGAAACAACATCGTCACGAGCTACATTGTAAGGAAACATAAGTAGTAGTAAATACTAAATACTCATCTGTCACTGACCAAATAGAATCTAACGGAGGTATAATGCATGAAGAAAAGAAAATGACCACATTTCACTTACCTGCCAGCTTTTATTGCTCTTGGTTTGTGAGATATGCTGCAAATCCATTAAAACTCCTATTGTAGCTTCTGATTAAGGACTTCCCTAGATATCTTTTTTCAGAGAGAGAGAGAGAGAGAGCCACAGAGGAAAAAGGGAATTAATAAAACAAATATCACAGGGAAATGACTTATTGGAACCTAAAAAAAAAATTTTATACCTAATTTTTAACAAATATACTTATTCTACCTCTTAACCCTCAATTCTCTCTATCTAGAGAATAAAACAAATGATTTTTTTGAGCTGTCTTTTGCTTAATTATATCAGGGAATTTTTGTCATTTCGTCCATTTCCGTTAAGTTTAACGGATTCCGTTACCTTTACAATTTAGTTTAAAGTACGAGGTGTCGTGTTGTATATTTTGAAATCACGAGTGACTTTTTTGTGTATTAGGTTTATCGCAGGGTCTTTTTTGTTTTTTACCCATAAAATAACAATGTAGCAAATAGCATGAGAGCGGAGTCTATCCATTCTTTAGTCCCCTGGCTATGAATCAAGTTTTTTTTTTGACTGGCACAATCTTTGTTTATATAGGCATGCATGTACTTGTCTCCTTCTTAAAGTTGTGATATATATAGTTTGGTAATTAAGTACGTAGGAAAATGAAATCTTTCTCTTTAACATCTTTGTAGGTGAACCAGATACATTTCAAGGCTTATTGTGGCATAAACAGAAAGATCCCCTATTAATTTTATTTTATGGAAGTACTGTTATGGAAGAATATACACGAATGCGTGACATTTAGTTGAGGTCTCAGAACCTAGAGGATTTAGGTTCTAATCCCCGTACTCTTCCTCGTTTCTTAAATTTCAATCTTCCTTTGCTAAAAAAAACTTAAAAAAAAATGCGTTGCATCCATTTAAGGTAGCTTTTTTACACTGCCATATTTTATCGGTCTCTAATACTAGAAGATTATTTAATGACTTAAACTAACTTGTCTATTATCAATTTTCTTTTGCACAGCAAGATATGAAGTGAATAAAGAAGGCCTTCCACCATCAAATAAAAATGAAGACGAGAAGAAAATAAAGAATCACAAAAATAGCCCTCATATTCAAAGTACTATAGAACAAAAAATTAAAAAGAAATCGGCTGAAAAAAAGTTACTAATTTAATCGAGTAATATGCGAGATTATTGGATACTTTTCAGGAATTAAGTGTCAAGTATTATTTGGCAAACATGGGGTTTATTTGGATAGGGTATTATTTGAAATAATTACTGTAGCACTTTTTGTGATGTGATGTATATGAGATAAAAAGGTAATTGGAAAGATAAAAAGTTGTATTGGAAATTGTAATGGTGATGTCAGCAAATATATTTGGCCAAATAATCTACTGTCCAAACAAACGGGGATTAGCTGTTTTTCGGAGTGTTTTTGAAAAATTTTGCTGTAACCGAGTTTTTAGAGTATATTTTAGGATATTTTTAGAAAATATTTTGGGATATTTAAGACTAGAAGATTTTTTAGAATACATTTTGAGATATTTTTAAAAATTTTTTAAAAATTTAAATTAATTTTTAGATTACCTTTTACAAATTTTTATTATATTTGAAAAACTTGTTTTTAAAAAATACTCCCATCCAAACAGAGCCAGAAGTAGGCAACCTGTAGTAGGTTCTCCAAAAATTGTCTATATTCATTTGCCTACCAAAATTGGAAAAAAAAAAAATCAATTCTACAAACTTAATTTGTCAATGGGAGTAAATGGGTACACCTTCCATTGGTCCAAAAACGAAGCGGTATTCCTTCAAGATAAAATTCTGACTGCCAAGTAGTAAGATGCACGCACACATTCAATTAGTAGCGGTTAGGGGTGTTCGAATTTCGGAAAAATTGAAAAATGGGGCATTTGGTAAAATCGAAATATATCCAATTTTAATATTTGGTAAAACGGTTCGAAATGGATATAAAAAAATATTATTGAATTACTGATCATCGGTTGAATTTCTGAAAATTTTAAAATACATGTTAATGAATCTAATTAATGAATTCAAAGAGCCACATAGCTCGGATTATAAATCTAATTAATGAATCATAAATATAAGGACAGATAATACTTCCTGCTGGCACGCTAATCAAATAATTTGCTTGATTCGGTGAAATTAATGACATTATACAAATTATGTGTATATAATGATTGGACTTCGGACACTATGCAAACCATCAAACCACACAAGTGAAGCAGATATCACCGGCGGTGTCGCTCTTCCACCGGTGACCGTCACAACAAATGATCTTTTCTCGTTCACCGTCGTGAATGATAGGATGTTAGGCTCCACAGAAATATTCACCTGAGAAGGCCTGGTAGTGATTGTGGCTCTGTATGTTGAATTGGGAAGACCAACATTTGTGACCGTTCTTGAAAATGTAGCTGTAAATCTCTCGCCATTTTCGACTTTTGCAGTAATTGTTGGGTAATTAAGATCCTTGGGTTGTGTCGGAACCACATTAGTGCATGAGGTATTATCAGCAAATATTTGTGCCAATGCTTTTGGATCAAGTTTCAAGCCACAGAGCAATTTGATGTAATCTGATCTTAATATCTCGTACACGAGTCCGGGATCTGCCGCTTTTACTGGGTCAAGATGTCCTGCTCCGTAAGAAAACTCCGCATCTCCATGACTAGCATTTGTTGCATTCAGCTGCCAAGCTAGGAGCAAATAGAATTTTTCATCATTCATAAAATATGTCATCAAGAACAACCGAAAAACAGCACGAGTTTCTAAAGGATAAAGAAGATAAAAGGAAACATAAATATGTAGCAATCGTGCGACTGTTACCAGTGGTCATAAGAGCAGATTTGATTGCTGAAGGAGACCAGTGAGGGTTTAATGATTTCACATAAGCAGCTGCACCTGCTACGTGAGGACATGCCATGGACGTTCCAGATAGTATGTTGTATTCTACAGATCTTGCATCCTGATGAGAGATTTCTGATGGGGATGCAGCAGGAGAATAAGCAGCCAGAATATCAACTCCTGGTGCACTTATGTCCGGCTGTATAATCAAGCAGCCTCATGGTAATTGGTAAGCATGTAAAAGTTTTTATGAACTAACAATAGCAAAAGGTGCTGCCAAATGTGGGCTAGAATACCTACCTTCAGAATATCCGGGAAAATAGTGTTTGGCCCTCTAGATGAGAATGATGCAACTACCGGAGCACTTGAGTCTGTTATATTCTCGCTTGGATAGATGTATGCTTGAGGTACTCTGTATACAAATAAGGATACCAAATGCAATGCAATGAAAGTTAAAATAGTGCTTGGTACAACCCAATACACAAGATTATGGATATATAGCTCGTGACTAACTTTGTGGAGTTGATGTAGCTTTCGACCAGATCAAACTGTTGAGGGCTCAAAGTTGATGCAGCAGAAGGAAAAACAAAAGAAACATCATAGATTTCACCTGAACGGAAAATTGATCCAACGCTGCCAGCCCTTTTAACTTCAGCGAGGTTGCTGCTGCTAAAAGTGTCATCACAAAGTACAATTTTTCCTTCAACTAGCCTTCTGTCTAGACAGCCTCCATAACAACGCCTACAATGGAATATATTAGTTAGATATTATGTTCCACCTTGCGCTGAAAAAGTCGTGACCAGCGCCAAGGATAAATGGCTAGATAGAAACGGAACTTACTTAGCTTCAGCCTCGCCACACTGTATTGAAGCATCCTTTCCATATACAAGAGGGTAATTTTTCGTGCTATTCAACTTGAAGGAGTTAATGGCATTTCCCTGTTACATGTGAAGTCAAAAGATGAGCAAGTTCAAGAAACAAAGGAATTGATATAACCTTAAGTCAAATATGCTGTTAATAAGTGACTATACAGAAGCTGAGAAAATTAAGTATTGCAAAATCTATAGCAACTAGTAAATGCGAGAAAAATTGAATTGATTAAACATACAAAAATCTCGGCTCCATTTCCAAGGGCAATTTTGCTGACGAGCTTGCGATTTGTAGTGCTTGCTGCAACTGTGAATAACCATGGCGCAGTACTGACGACTCGTCCTGTTAAAGAACCATCATTTCCTGCTGACTGAACTGTGAGTACACCTTTGCCGATCCCATGAAAAGAGCCGATAGCTATGGAGTCATATTGCAAGCCAACTGGAGACTGTAGTCCAAGTGAAACCGTAATAATGTCAACTCCATCAGCTATAGCATCATCAAAACCAGCTAATATATCTTCATCTGTGCATCCCGTATCACTACACACTTTGTATGCAGAAATTCTTGCAGATGGAACCCCTCCTCGTGCGATACCTTGTGCAATTCCATAAAAACTCGCATTTTCCACTTCGTTTCCAGCTGCTGTTGAAGCAGTATGGCTTCCATGTCCATCTAGATCTCTTGCCGAATCATCTCCTCTGACATAGTACCGTGCTCCCACGATTTTGCTTAAGAAGTAACCATGTTTTCCAATAAGCAATATAGATTAGTGTACAACGGAAAATTCATGACATATTTTAACAAAAAAAAAAAATACACCTACAGGTACAGAACACAAGGAGTTTACTTGTTACAGGTGAAATTTTTGCCTCCTTTGCAGACCCCCTTCCATTTCTTAGGTATAGGTCCAAAACCGTGATCGCTAAAACTTTTTGACTCTGGCCATATTCCAGAGTCTATAACTCCTATAATTATGTCACTCTCGATATCAAGATTTCGACCGACGTTTCGTGGAAATCTCAAAAAGTCCCATGATGCAGTTGTTTGAAGTTGGAGAGTTTTGCTTGGAAATATCAACGCCACAGCATCCCGACCTATACATGTATGGAAACTCAGTATAAATCTTCACATATAATCGTAATAAGGCTCAATTAAGATCTAATGCATAAATTCTTAATTGCTAATATATATTTGACTCACCAGCCAACTTTTCTCTCTCTTGGTTTGTGAGATTTGCAGCAAACCCATTAAAACTCCTATTGTAGCTTCTGATTAAGGATTTCCCCGTGTAACTTTCACAAAGAGAAAATAAAGAAAAAAGTTAATGAAAAGAAGAATTAATTTGTACATATTACTCGATCAAGACTAGGAATACTTGGCTTACCTGCTGTCAACAACTTCCTGAAGCATACTGAGATGGCGTGCTGAAGGTGAATAATCTCCTTCAGGAAGGGCTCCCAGGTATACTATGTAAACCTGCTTGGAAAATACAAATTTAGTAGCAATTAAGATTTAATTTTATCTTTGCAATGCTTTAGTTGCATCATTATGGTTATCGAAACAGCTTAATACCGATAACGTTTCTACTAGTTTGACTGATGTATTAAGGCTTTCAGCTGGACTTATAGTTTTCCATATTCAATAAACTGGGGCATTGCTGATGCCACCAAAAAAAAAAAAAACATATCACCAAAAAACTGGGGCATCTGCTATCGATTCTGTAACTGAGCAGCCATTGATGATCATTTCTTTACGAGTGAACAAGACAATTAGTTTTTCATAATTATACAGGAAAATGTTGAAGGCGAAATGCTCGCAACTTCCTTTGCAAAGAACAATTAGTAAGCAGTTAACTAAGAGAACAAGAGTATAAATCAAGTAATGATTTTTTTTTCTATATATATATATATATATATAAAACTAATCTTAACAACTCATACGATATTGGGTTTTTGAAATTGTCCCTAAATAATATTGCAGATGACTAGAAAAGTTATAAGTATGTCGTAAGAACAAGCAAGTGACCAGACAATTGTTAAGAAGACTTGCCTTCCTTTCTTCATCAGTAGCGGCAGTAGTTCCACCACTTCCACTCAAACTAATGACAAAAAGGGCGAAAAGAATGCAGGAAATTCGAAGTGCATCCATTCTTGATTTCATCAAAATGAGCTTCGTGACTTATTTTTATGGTTGTGCTGTACAATCCCTATTTATAAAAGCAGGCGTGGTGTTGTTATTCTATTTAAGATTGCGTTCATATATATTTTGACAAGTAGGAAAAGATTTTCCATTTTAAACATGCTGCTCCAATGTAAGAATCTGAGTTGGTTGATATAACGAGATGATTCAATTGATTTCGTACAGGAAATGCTTTTATGCCCATTGATTCTTTGTATCTAATTACTTCCATTCCATAGTTCACGATAGAATCGGTTCTTTGCACAGATGAGAATGAGGTGAGGGGTATTTGATTAGTCAGTCATACTTTGCTGGCCATGCATCCTCATCCTCATTCGTTGTTTAGTTTTTCTCACCTCATCAATCATCATGGGTTGTCTCCTTCGTTACCTTAATCAAAATTCTCCCAAGAAATTTGTCTAAATACATTTGCACCAGAAAAATTCGACGAAAAACACGCTGCAAACAAACTAGCAATTTTGTTCATGAGAGTGGAAAAATACATTTTTCATAATTTGTCCAAATATGGAGGAGGTGCATGAAAGAAGTACCTTCTTCTTTTTTTAAGATCAAGTTGTATTAGGTAAATTAAGGGACATTTGGAAAATTTAAGGTAAACGTTGCAAACTTGAATATTTTGCCCCATTCAAGTCCGGGTTCTAAATGATACTCATAAACGTGTTGAAAATATATACAAAACAAAATCACTTAATTATGTATTGCTCGCTAAATTTCTAGTTGTCCTAAAGGTTTTAGACTTGGCTCTTTATTAGATTTTATTAAAGGGTAAGAAATATGATGTAATTAATGAAGAGTTGTATAAACAAAATACTAAGAGACCTCTGGCATTATGTTTACCCAAGGAGACGGGGCAGGGACGGTCATCAGAAGGACCGTCCCTGAACAGTTCACGGTCAGGATTTGACCCAAAAAAATTATACGGTTCAGATCACTTTTTGTACCTCATTTTTTAACAACGTGTGTGGGACCCACAAGAATTTGTTCTAAAGTTACACGTTGTTGTGCAAACAAAGTTATGCCATGTGCAAAATGCACAAAACCGCTAGGAACGGTTCCCGTGGTCCGTTACCCAACTGTATTTACAAGGAAAATTTATTTTCTTTCTAGTGGTGTTGACTCGTTTACTGTATTTTCAAAAATGTTGGGTGGCATTACTAAACGAGTCAACAAAAATACTAAGAGACCTCTTGCATTAGTTTCTTTCATTCAAATACAAACTTGTTCGCTAACGGCTCATAAGATAAGGAAGAGTCCAAAAATTTCATAAGAAGATCATACCTTAGAATGTGTGTAGTTGAATACTAAGTAATGAAAAATTAGTCAAGATGTAGCTATACCGCTCTAGAACTTTTTTTCAATTATTTTAATTTGCTGTAGATTTTGCCAAAAACTTATGAAAAGTAGTGATAAAAAAAATCAGAATAAAAAAATTATTCTTTTATTCGATTTTAGGAATTTAGCGTCATTGGCTATTAAAATATGCATCTAAAACCGATTACGAATCAAATTCTAAAAGAACTGTTAATAGGCTTTCTTAATGGTTGGTTATCCACTCTTCCCGCCACGAGTTTCTCCTCTCCACCTCGTACCTTTGAGATATAAAAATGTTATCCAAGTTTCATTGCCTTCTCAAATTTTTGTCCCATTGGGGACTTCACCAATGCCACAACTGAGCTCTCTCCTAACACTTGGGGGACTCCCACGGCAAAGCCAATCGGATCACTGGTACTCAATTCCAGTGATTCGTCCGGTTGGATCGAGTAGGATCCACCACTAATTGTAGAACAGGTCGAGTAAAGCAAGAAAAGTCGAAGAAATATAGGAGGTAGGATATACAGATAGTCTTTAGAATAAATAATTAATGACTTTCACCAGCCGTGTATCAGTTGTTTTACTAGCTTTGCTTGTGGCATTTGCTGCAACAATCCCACGCTTGCGTGGCAGTAGTATTGAGGCAGATGCACACATTGGCGAATTCGATGATTTTCTACGGAAGAGGGCTGAGGATGCCCTTCAGGCTTCTCTCAGGGCATATAATCCTGATCCTGAAGCCGTCACTGACAATTTCACCAGACAAGTGGGAAAGTGAGTTTTTTCTTTCTTCCTTTTTTTCCCCCCTTACACTTCTTGGTTGCCTAATTTTCCTCCCTTTTAGCTAGTACCATCAAACAATTAATATTCACGTTCCATGCATCTTTTTGTATGTTGTCTTCACGTTCCGTGCATCGTTTTGTATGTTGTCTGTCTATAGGATGTTGGAAGGTGGCAATGAGACTAGGAGACAGCTTAAAGCAGGCGGTTGCGTTGCAACAAATCCCATCGACCGCTGCTGGAGGTGTGATCCTAACTGGGCAAAGAATAGGAAGAGGTTAGCCAAGTGTGCTCGTGGTTTTGGCCGCCAAACGAAGGGTGGAATGCATGGGAAATACTATGTGGTAGTTGATCCCTCGGATGATAATGTGCAGGATCCAGAACCCGGTACTCTTCGTCACGCTGTGATCCAACAGGAGCCATTGTGGATCATATTCGATACTAGCATGGTAATTAAGCTAAACCAAGAGCTTCTGATCAATAGTGACAAGACCATTGATGGTAGGGGAGTTGAAGTGCATATTGCCTATGGTGCAGGCCTTTCCATCCAATTTGTGCAGAATGTTATCATTCACAACATTAAGATCCATCACATTGTTCCGAAAAATGGTGGGCTGGTTAGAGATTCTACTTCGCACATTGGTTTGAGAACAAGGAGTGATGGAGATGGTCTATCAATCTTTGGTTCAAACCATGTCTGGATTGACCATGTTTCCCTGTCTAAGTGTAGTGATGGCCTAATTGACGCAATCATGGCTTCAACAGCTATCACAATCTCTAATTGCAAGTTTAATAATCACAATGATGTAAGTTAAACTGTCATTTAATTTGAAAGTACCCCTAGCTGAGATATGTTGACACCTTTCAAATTTTGAACCTTGATTTCAGCAAAGGCTGAAATGCGATTAATACTTCCAAGAAATGATAGATATGTGGTGGTTTGGATGATGCAGGTTATACTTTTAGGTGCAAGTGACGAGCATAGTGAAGATGCAATAATGCAAGTCACAGTAGCATTCAACCGTTTTGGCAAGGGCTTGGTGCAGAGGATGCCAAGGTGCCGATGGGGCTTTTTCCATATTGTGAACAATGACTATTCTCAGTGGCAGATGTATGCCATTGGTGGTAGTGCTCATCCGACTATTATCAGCCAGGGTAACCGATTCAAGGCCTCTAAAAACCAATTCACTAAGGAGGTAAGCATTTAGACCCTACAAGGAGGAGCTATGCTATAAACGTCATACTGCTGAACTGAAAACCTTCATCTATCTATCCGTATTTCAATGATCGAGTTTACAATCCAATTGACACAAGTCCTTTTAACATGTCTCCTCTGCCAATGCATCGAAGCATTCGAGTAACTGTGTATTGGAATATTATTGACAGGTGACCAAGAGGGATTATGCCGAAAAGAGCCAGTGGATGGGATGGCAATGGAGGTCAGAGGGTGACAAATTCTTGAATGGAGCTTTCTTTGTGGAGTCCGGGCCGCCACTCAAAAAGAGTCCATTTACTGGAAAAAATAAGCTGCAATTCAAGCCTGGTTCATACGCAGGAAGGCTCACAAGATATGCTGGTGCACTTAAGTGCCGAGAAGGCAAGCCTTGTTAACCGGTGATTATATATAGAAGGCAAACATTTTTTTTTCCCGTCAAACGAGGCAAACATGTATATATGTATCTATGTATATTTGGAAAATGTTGCTTGGGTATAGATCAAATAACTTTCAGCCACACTTGTGGGCTGAAAATCAAGCAGAAGAAAGTCACTGCTGCATAGACGTACAGAGAAAGAAGAATAAGCCTGGCCAAACCGCGAAAGCAAGCTCCATGGAGGTAGTTTGTCATTTCTCCTTGTCGTCTTGATAGGCACAAGATAGCATGTGATTAGAGGTGTTAAACTTCTAAGTTGCTGACTAATATTAGTACAATTACAAGTAAATACCATTTGTTGGAAACACGTTTCTAAAACAAAAGTTATGCCGTAATCAATGGCTATCCTCAAATATTAGGCAGGATAAGTATACAAAATACTTCCTGAGTCTTGGCTCTCTGTGTTGTGAATATGAGACTAAATTCACTGGGTGAACAATTAAATTAATCTGGAGGATCATACAATGGAAGAGCCAAGAATCATCAATGGGTACACCGCAATTAGCTTCGAAGATGACTTTTACAAAGACTAAAGAGAGATTCTATCGTTTTCCTTCTGCAATTTGTACGTACCAATGTGGACAAGTCAATTATCCTGTGCAATGGCACCAAAATTTCCGATATACTATGATCCAAAATACAATTAAACCACAGCCAAACAGGATTTAGATATAAAGGATCATAAGGTGTCAACAGAAATCTAGAAACAGATGAAAATTTAAAAAAAAAAAAAGAAGGAATGTTTATTGAATTAAAACTTTTAGTTATTAAATTATAAGCCAACTTATTGCCAAACAAAGCATCTTGAAAGCAGGCCAGACCATCCTTCTCATCCCAGAAGAATCGTAACTAGGATCCCATAACTCAGATTTGTGAAGCTTGAAAAGAGACTGATTCGCCACCCGATCTTTTTACTTTCTATGGCTTATAAGGCTATAAGAGGTCCTTCAACAGAATTCACGCTCAGAAACAGAAAAGGCACTCTATCAGAGTTCCTGCCATTTCATCCAAGCACAGCCAATTGCAATCAGTTTGATCCGCAACGTAGTTCAAGAATTATCTCTTCTGAAGAGGGCATGTCCTGATGTTATGTCCTTTCACCCTGCACAGCCGGCAGATGTAACTTTTCTTGGTAGGAACAGAATTTTTACTTGTAGCGACAATACTTACTTCTGCCATCTTCTCTTGAGGACAGGACCGCCTATT